AAAAAAGAAGAAAGGTCCTAGGAGCTGGGCAGTGGTGGCACATGTCTGTAATGGTCCTTATTAGCAAGTGTTCTTAATCAATGAGCCATCTCTTCAACCCCTTCTTTTCTATTTTGGTATAAAATATGTATGTTTTTGAGGTCAGGTTTGTCTGATATTGGTGATCTTTCTACTTTTAAGCCTCTTATGTGCTGGGATTATAGGAACAGACCATAGCACCTGGCTGAAAATATTTTTTGTTTTAGAGAGCAAGCATCTCACTCTGTAGCCCAAGCTAGGCTCAATAAAAATTACTTCTTTAAAGTTTAAATACTGTTAGTTGGGTGTGGTTGTATATGCCTTTAATCCTAGCATGTGGGGGACAGAGGCAGGTGTGGGTTCTGAGGCCAGCCTGGTCTACACAGCAAATTCCAGGACAGCCAGATCTGTCTCAAAAACAACACCCACACAAACCCAGTAGATTTTGATAGTAATAGGGAGACAAATAGTAATATTCAACAACTTCTGTTATGGATACTGAATTCTGAACAATTTCATTCAGCCTTGAATCTTGTCAATGAAATCCCAAAAAAGAACTAAGATCCACTCATGATCCAAGGTAGCTTACAATAAGAAAATTCCATTTATTAAATGGTACTTAGAGAACCCAAACCTGCTTCTCTACCATTTGCTGACTAGGTCATGTGTTCTACCTACTGTAATTACCATTTGCAATCCTATCCCTTCCTTCTCAGATAATTCCTTAACATTTGTTAGCTTCATTTTTTTCTTTCAAAGTCAATACTATGTTTCTGTTTGGTTGGTTTTGTTTTTCTGCAACATAGCCCCTCTGTACTGTAACTCACTATGTAGGCTAGGCTGAACTCAAACTCAGATATTTGCCAGCTTCTGTCTCCCCAGTACTAGGATTAAAAGTGTGTGCTACCATGCCTAGTCCCTAAATACTATGGTTTTAACAAGTCACTCATCACAAATTTCAAGGATCTTCTTCATGGTCTAGTTGAGTTCCTCCGAGCAAAAGATAAAACAATACTCAGTAATGCCCATAAGTAAACGTAACAATGTTCACAAAAGACAGGATGGGGAATAAATTGGGGCTATGCTCTTCTACTAATTCTACTCTATGGTGCTAACACAATCCTTTGCACAGTGGATTTCACACTACAATTCCAACAACTTCCTTACACCACTTCAATGTATATATTTCTTCCAACTTCCTATCTTCTGCAAATGTCATCAGCCTGCCATCACTCTTCACCTATGTCATATGAATAAAGTAGTTCCCTCCCCTGAAGAAAAAAAAAAAAAAGGACAAGAAGAACATAATAGGCCAAGAACAGAGACATTACAACACCTGACCATCTGACTGACACATCATTCTGTCCGGATTTCTCCATTTTCAAGATCCTGATGTAAAACTGAAAACCCTCTTAAAATAAAAATAGCATTTTCACAGGTTTTTTTTTTTTTTCTCTCTAATAACCCTTTTTTGTTTCCTTTCTGTGACGCTCCGGTAGAATTTAGGGCTTCTTGTATACCAGCCAAGCACTCTATCAGTAAGTCTCATAAAACAAAAATAAAACAAAAACCCAAAAACTAAACATAGCAAATTCCTGGACAGCCAGATCTATCTCAAAAACAACATCCACACAAACCCAGTAGATTTTGATAGTAATAGGGAGACAAATAGTAATAGTAAAAAAAGCAGAGTTTATTTAAATCAATGGACTTTTTAGTGCATAAAGTTAATTATCTATTTAAAAGTAGAATGAGGGCTTAAGTTATAGCTCAATTGGTTGAGTGCTTGCTTATCACACACAAAACTGTGTTCAAACCTTAGCACTATATACAAATCGGGCCTGTCAATCAGAGGTTTACTTCCAGAAGGAAACAGAAGAATCAGAAACCCAAGGTCATCCTTGACTACACATTAAGTTACAAATCAGCTGGCTTTACAAAAGCCTATCACAAACAGTAAAATTAACATTTTAAGAGTGAACATTTGGGTGTAAAGGTGTAATTTATCAGTAAAAAAACCAGACATTATAAATTTGTCTTATAATTTACATCTAAAAAATTTGTCTCATGGACTGGAGAGATGGCTCAGCTCTTAAAAAATATGTACCAAGCAGTGAGTGGTGGTGCGCACCTTTAATCCCAGCACTTGGGAGGCAGAGGCAGGTAAATTGCCGAGTTCGAGGCCAGCCTGCTCTACAAAGTGAGTTTCAGGACAGCTAGGGCTGCTCAGGGTTAAAAAAAAAAAAAAAAAGACTACTAAGACCAGGCAACATTCTAGCAGTGACACGTAGCTCTTTTGAGTTCCAGGCCTACCAGTCCTCTGTGGAAGGAGTCAACAATTTATGCTTTTATAAAGCAAAGCCTGCCCCTTATTCAGCCTTTGTAAATGTATTATGTATTTTCCTTATTTTTGGTTTTTTTATGAGGTCAGGTAGCCCTTGTATCTTCCATATTCCTGCTTCAGTCTCCCAAGTGCTAGAAATAATAAACATAAATCAGCACATCTAGCTTTATAAGATATCCCTGATGTCTTAAAAATAAAAGGAATCAGGCTCATCCCTAAGCACACAATGGGATATACACTTAAACATGTTCTTATACTTATTTGCTAAATCTAAAACACCTCCAATTTTCAAATTTCCCCTTTAACCGGGGCCTTGTTGTTTTGTTCGAGACAGGGTTTCTCTGTGTAACAGTCCTGGCTGTCTTGGAGGGGGATTTCTTTTTTGTTTTGTGAGAAAGGGTTTCTCTGTATAGTCCATGCATAGATCTCCCTGCCTCTGCCCCAAGTGCTCTGATGTGTGGGCCTAGCACTGGCCTAACAAAACTCTGTGTAGAACTGTGCTGGGCAAAGCAACTTCTTTCCTTCTTTTCAAGAGTCATGAAAGCACTCTGGAAGTTAAAAACGTCATGGTAGAGGTTAGGACTTTGTTAACTATAAAATCTAGGCACCATAGGTCATCGATAGCTGATGCCAACTACTAGCAATTTTACCACTTATTTTTAAAATCTTTCGATGAAACCCAAACAAAAACAATTCAACAAAAGAATCCTTTTAGAAAACAAATAATACGGTTATTTTGTGGAATAAGGGGTCATTTTTTACGACCCCCAACTACTACCTGGAATTGTTTAACATTAACGAACAGCTCATGCCCACACTCTATCTGTATGTTCAGTGTGAACTGGAGGTTTTCATTCCAGTAATCTTTACTTAATTTAACCTACAATAGCCACTCAAACTCTTGGCCACCCAGTAGCAGTTAGTTATAAAGTTAAATTTGGGAGTAGTATCGTCTCATACACTACTCGGATGTGAGTTTAAAGCAAGCCTAGAACACAGAGTTCCATGTAAGTTCCATATAAGGTGGTATAGTGAGAAACTGCCCCGATCCCCCGAAATAAATAAAAAATAAAGACATCTGTTTAGCAAAAGGAAAACATCAAAATAACCTAGGTTCTAGTCTCAACTAATGCATGATACACGTTATCCAGGTCCCAGTTAAGCTGCCAGCCAGAACCCCCATAGTTTCTCACTTTCTTCCTAACCCCGGGACTATTAAGCAATTAACTTGAATCTAAGGCCTAAAATAATTGAGCTGCAGATACAAATTCAGACAGATTAAGTGAACTTAAATAAAATTTCACCACATGGGAATTACTTCCAAGTAAAAGGAAAATTTTAATAGTGTCTGTCTCCTAATCCTAAGTATCCTGAGTTGATGGTAGAGTTTTGGTTAGTTTTAAATCCCCAAAGTATTCACTATAAACAGTCATACCGACTACTTCCCAAATGCCAGTAAAGCTTTTTCACAGAAGACATGGTAATTTTGGAGGTGCGGTTTGCAACAGAATGGAAAGAGCAAGCAGGTAGGCAACAGTCTCCGTTATTTCCACCCGGAGAGTAGGAGGAGTGAGTATGGGGTCCCAAACTACCACTAATAGTAGATCATCTTGTCAGGAGACACAAAGGTGGGACACAAGACCGTTGCCAGATCCAAACCTCTCTGGTCTTAAGATACTTCCGATACCGAAACTAGGAAAAGATAATTGATAACTGTAAAAACACTCAAGAACTAAAGGCAAAAGGAGCCACTCCTTTCCGAGTAACATGTATTGACTTAGGTCTCCCGGTCTCTGCGTCTCTGAGGCCTCACCCCTCTACCCAAGGCATTAAAGGGAGCCCGCCGAGCGAGAGAAAACTAAAAACTTCTTGAAACCATATGAATAAAAGTCTGATCGCTAGCGGAACGTAGTCCCTTTGCGATTAACGTGACACAGGAAAACAGAGGGTTACAGAAGTATTGGAGACCTGTACACGCGGTGAGGGGGGAACGAGAACCACACGGGATTTGGGTCGGGCGGTTAACGCGCACGTCCCCTGAGGAAGGGCATTTGCAGGGGGAGGAAAGGGAGAACTTGGGGTGGGTTAACGCGTTAAGAACTCCTTGGTGGAGAAGAAGCAGCGGCCCTTGGTTTCCGGGCTTAGGGTCAAACTCACTTTTGCCCCAGGGGTAAAAGAAAGCCTGGGTCCCGCCCAGGCCGGGCTAGGAGGCGGGGCCTGCCGCGACCCCGATTTTGGAGGCGGGGCACGGGCAACCCGCTAGCCCAGACGCTAGGCTGCCCGCAAGCCTCGGGAGGATGGGGTCGCGTGTGGTCGTCCCCGGATCGGTGACTGGCTCCGGCACGGCCCAGGGGTGCGGCCTACCGGGCGCTCAGTGCGCGCCGCGCCCGCGACAGGGCCAGGGCGGAGGTCGGGGCGGCCGCAGAGCCGACCCGGGCCCTGCTGGGTGGAGGCACGCGCACGGGCGCGCCGCCGCCACCTCGCGCGCCGCCGAGCACCCACGCGCACGGGCGCGCGCGGACCCGAGAGAAGGCCGCGCGTTGGTGGTCAGGAGCACGACTCTAGGCCCGTTGCCCACCTCCTTCGCCACTTGCCCCAGCCCGGCCAGCCCTCCCCGGGCCTGGGACTCCGCACTGACCTGACAGGCCGAGACATGTTCGCTGTCGAGGCGCGACCAAGTCGAGGAGCTGAGGACCAGGACCCCCCTCCCCGCGCACTCGGCGCCCCACCCCCCCGCTCCGGCCGGCGGGGCCGCTGCTGCCGAGCCCCGAGCTGCTGGCTTCTCAGAGTCCGCGGCTGCTTGTTTCGGGCCCCTGGATCTGACGAGCCCCCCGCTCCCCCGTCTCTTCAAAATGGATGAATCAAACCAGCCGAAAATGCGCCAAAGCCGTGGTGCAACTAAACACGCTAGGGTTTGTGCGCTCCGCCCCAGCACGCCCGCTCATTGGTGACTTCTGTCAGACGCGCCTTAGTTATTAGTCCATTTGAATCATCACGCCTCCCAGGCCCCGCCCTGCTCCCTGATAGGCCCCGCCTCCCCCATGGGGTCCTGTTAGTCAAGGTGCTCTGAGAGCGCATGGCCGCAAAACAAAAATGGTCGCCGATTGCCCGCCCCCTGGCTTCCACGCCAGAGCCGCAGATTCGTCTTGAGTTACATGTTAACCCCTCCCCCCCCAAGAACCTAATTTTATGTAGAGTTCTACGTGACTAGGTGTTCGTGCAATGGATTTAATTTCTCCTGATGTAATTATTTTGCAAATCAGATAATTGCAAGACTCGTGGGATGGGGAGCAGATTCGTCACTAAGAGACTACTTCAGAATTGGAGGGAAATTTCTTAGGTTCAAAAATTTGACCTTAATCTTAGAAATCCTGTATTCCGGCTTCCGCGTTAACCTCCCAGGGGGCAGTCACGCTGCTGAAGTTGAGAGTTATGCTCACAAAGAATCTCTTCTATTCCATTCTTCATTTTCCAAACTGTTCTTTGAGAACTACTTCATACTCAATAAAATCCCATCTTCCGACATTACCATTTCAAAGAGAAAGAGGTGGATGATTAAGAGCGAGAGTGGTGACAAAACACTTGCTTCGTAATTCTCAGTCCATCACTTAGTAATTGCGTTAAGTTTCCCCCTCTGTACTTCAGTTTTATAAGTAGAATAGGAAACAACACTACCTTATAATTGACACTACCTTATAAACGAAATGCTATTGCGGAAAGGTATGGGCTTAAGTGTTAGGTTCACTTTTTAATAGAAAATAAAAGTAGTTGGGGCTGCCTCAAGACTGAATGCCTAAGTCAGAAGTAGAGCTCAGCATCCCTGTATTAATAGCTAGGATTTACTTCGTGTTATACTTTGTATTATATGTCCCCTAGGGACCCATATGCCAAAGCCTTAGCCAGTCTGTGGGAGAGTGTTTGTGAGTCAGGGACTGGTAGAAGTTAGGACATTAGGAATGTGCTATTAAAGATGATATCAGGAGCATGGCTTGACCACCTCCGTCTCTTTTTGCTTCAATATGCCACAATATGGTCAGTTTTACTTTGCTGACAGGCTTTGCACCACGATGTTTTACCTCTTTACAGACACAAAGCAGTAGGACCAAGCAGCCCTAGATGCAAATATCTGAAACCGTAGAAAAATAAATCTATTCTTATGACTTGATATTTGAAGTCATAGGGATAGAAAAGTAACACACTGTATTATGTTATAAATAGGCTTCAATCGTTACCACACTCAGTGTTAATAACCAATTAAAGAGAGGAGATGTTGCTCAGTTGCTAGCAATTGTCCAGCATGTGGTAAGCAATTGCCCAGCATGTGCCCTAAAACTGGGCCATCAATCAAGGAGGCAGTGGCAGGAGGACAGAAAGGAGGTAGAGGTTCAAGGTCATCTCTGACTATATACAGAGTTTGAGGATAGTTTGGGCTATGAGAGCCCCTGAGTCAACAACAAAACCGAGTGGAGATCTAGTCCCCAAGCAACAAACCACATCACTGTCTGCTTCCTTAAAGTCTCCCAATGTAAAATTCTACTTCCCTAAGGGAAGAGAACAGCATAATACAACAGAGAAATATTTCAAAAGTTATCCTTGATCCTTTCCATTCAACATCATTCCCTCTTCACTTAAAAAAAACAAAACAAAACAAAAACAAAAACAAAAAAGACAAATCTATAACAGCCGGGCAGTGGTGGCAAACGACTTTAGTCCCAGCACTCGAGAAGCAGAGGAAGGTGGATCCCTTTGAGTTCAAGACTAGCCTAGTCTAGAGTGAGTTCCAGGACAGCCAGGGCTACACAAAGAAACCCTCTCTTGAAAAACCGAAGGAAAAGAAAAGAAAAAAAAAAATCCATGACATAAAATGTGCCATCTTAGCCATTTTTAAGAGCACACGTCTGTGGTACATTCATGTTGTTGTGAAACCACCAATATCCATCTCCAATTTTTTTTTTATTACATGTTTCTCCCCAGCTCCTTGTTTATCACAGCATGAATACAGAGCGCAGAGGAAAAGTCTCAACAGTGGCTTCTTTCCTCTCCCTATGTGAGTCCAAAGGATCAAAGCAAAAGCTTTTACCTGCTGAGGTGGGAGGATCACCTGAGCTAGAAAGTTCAAAACTATCCTGAGGAACATAGTAAAACTCTCACCTCAACAAAAGAGGGCAGGGCAGCTAGATGCTCACTAAGTGAAGACTCTCACTGCCAACCCTGCTCACCCACATCCCATCTCTGGGACCTATACAATAAAAGGTGTCTTCTGCCTTCCTGCCACAAATGAACTTTTTCAATGAAAAGACAGTAGGGGGACTGGAGGGATGGCACACATTGCCGAAGAACTAAATTAGGTTCCTAGCACTCATGTTTAATAACTCAGGACCACCTATAACTGCAACTCTTCAAACATCTGATGTCCTTTTTTTTTGGTTTCCATGGGCATACACACAAATAAAGATTAAAATAAAAACAAACCTTTTAAAGACAGAAGTGGGATTGGAGCTCAATGGTACTGCATGTGCTTAAAATACAGCTCAGAGTTTATCTCCAGCAATCCACACCTGTGTACACACACACACACACACACACACACACACACCAAAATAACTAAGGCTGGGTAGTGATGAAATGGCACAACTAATGAATCTCTCCATAACCCTAATGAGAATCTAACACATTTTCTTCAAGAGCTGTGCTGTAATTCCTTGTATCTTTTTTCTCCTCCCCAACTCCCGGCGCCCACCAAGGCAGAGTTTCTCTGTGTAGCTTTGGCTGTCCTGGGCTCATTTTGTAGACTAGGCTGACCTCAAACTCACAGAGATCAGCCTGCCTCCACCTCCCTGAGTGCTGGGATTACAGACATGTGCCACCTTTCTTTTCTTTTTTCTTTTCTTTTCTCTTCTTTCTTTCTTTCTTTCTTTCTTTCTTTCTTTCTTTCTTTCTTTCTTTCCTTCTTCTCTTCTTCTTACTAGACAAAGAATTTTATTAACCTTTTTTCAAACTTGATTTCCAGGCTTAATTTGATTTTCAGCTTAATTTGCTGTGACGAATTAATTGTGTATAAACAACAACTGAAAAGGGCTGTAGTGTCCAAAGGTCTTGAACTTAAAAACATTAAAGATGTAGGTCTTATCAGATTCATAAGAATTTCTAAAAGTGGTCATGACATGAAACAGTAGCCTCAGTAACTTTTCCAAGTTTCATCTTCTTCACAAGTTGCCTCAATTCAGTTTGCTCCATTTTTGGAAGACTCATAAAAATTCTCCACATGACCCACAACTTCATCCTCCTTCTCTCCAGTGGCAACTGGTGCTCTGCCATTCTCGGGTTGTTTGGACAGAGCTTCTGCTTTTCTTCAACCAGTCAGAATGACTGCACAAAGCTGATGCTGGAAAGCATTTCCACCGGCCTCTGTATCTCAGCCTGGTCTGTGATGGTGTTTGCTGCCTGAAGTTTGGAGTTGTTAAAATGGATCAGTGTTCCTCTTCAATACCAGAGATATTGTTTATGAGTAACTTTTAAAAAGAGAACTGAAGTTCTTCACCATCTGCTGTACCTGTTCTAGGAACCACCTTCTGTCTGTGAATGGTCCCTTTAGCACTAATACACACTTGTGCCTGCAGTTTGGTTAGTTTTTCCTGGGTCATGACAGTTTCTTTCATATTGTTGCAGCAGAAAAGGGTCTGTGAGTGGGATGAGGATTCGTGATCAGGGGGTCTCTGGAAGACCTGCTGAGATTAGGTACACACACACAGGGATCCAAGAAAGCAACTAGAGGGAAGTACGGAGTCCTGGGAGCTTTAAACAAGTTTTGTGATTACTCTGTGCAGGGCATGGCTAGTTCTCTTTTCCTTTAGCTCTAGTTCTCTTTCTTTGTAAGCACTGGTTTTTTAAGCTCTACTTATTTGGAGTTCCTAAAGCCTCTACCTCTCTTTCAACCCCCATCCTAGGTAGGAGAGAAAGAAAGTTAGAAGGAAAAGGGGATGTAGACTTCTTTACTTCCTCCAGCTGGGTAGGTGTGATATCAGTCTCTGCAGTCAGGATACTCAGCAGTCCAGGTAACCAGCAAACCAGAAAATGCAACAGTCTTCTTTCTCGAAGCATTCTCTCTGTCCATCTCTTCCAAGCCTCTGCAAGTTCTCCCTATGGGCTCTTGTATTTATACTCCTGAGTCCTCAGACTTCAGTTAACTCCAACTGGCAAAAACCATGTCCTTGCACCAGGTAATTATCAGCTATGGACAAACTAAAATCCCACACTTGGAATTAAAAAAAGAAAAAGTTTACATAATATAACTGAGTTTTTAAAGAAATCAACATTTCCATTACATTTCTTTTATTATTATTATTATTATTATTATTTTCTTCTTTTGGGACAGGGTCTATTATAGTCTAGATTGGGCTGAAATTTCTGATCCTCCTGCTTCCACCTCCTGAGTGCTGGAATCCCAGGTATGTGCCACCATATCTGGTCTTAAATTTTTCTGTCTCCAAGAACTGGGGTTGGAGGCACACATCTGTAATCCCAGCACTGGGGAAATGGAGGCAGAAAGTCAGAAGTTCAAGTTCAAGGTTACATAGGTAGTTTGGAGCTATCATGGGTTAGAGACTCTGTTTCATTAAAACATTTAAATAACTGTGTATTTCATTGTATTTTATGTGTATGGGCATTTTGCCTGCATATGTGTGCCTGCTGTCTGAAGTGGCTAACAAAGAGCATAAGATGCTCACGAACTAGAGTTACAGTTATGAGCTGTTATGTGTGTGCTGGGAATCAAACCTTGGTCTTTTGGAAGAGCAGCCAGTAAACTTTTTTTTAAAATATTTTTTATTTTAATTTTTATTAATTACACTTTATTGACTTTGTATACCCCC